TACCACTCATCATAGACCGTACCATGTCTAACAAGGTTTGGTTCCTCCTCTCTGACACACCATTCTGATGTGGTGTGTAAGGAGCCGTCAACTGAGAGAATCTCATTCTCTCTTAGATAATCCTAAAACTCTTGACTCAAATATTCTCCACCCCGATCAGATCGAAGTGTCTTAATCATCTTGCCAAGTTGTTTCTCCACTTCATTCCTAAACTCTTTGAACTTTTCAAAGGCCTCGGATTTGCGTCTCATAAGATACACATATCCGTATCTGGACTTATCATCAGTAAAGGTATTGAAATAGGAGTATCCTCCTCTAGCTTGAGTAGATAAGGGCCTACAAACATCAGAATGAATGAGTTCTAGTAACTCATTGGCTCTATGACTCGCAAGTTTCTCAACCTTGGTCTTCGTCATTTTTCCAGCCAAACAAGACTCACAAGGCCCATAGGATTCATAATCCATGGAATCCAGATAACCATCATGATGGAGTCTAGACAGTCTTATCTCATTAATGTGTCCCAATCTACAATGCCAAAGATAGGATCGATTACCTAATCTAGGCTCACAAGGAATGATGGGCAGTTCCTCTTCCACCTCTGGGCTTGAGCTTGTTTGATTCTACAGACTTGCCCTTACCCTTGGTCATTTTAGGCCCGCCAATCAGAAAAGCTTGGGTCCTGTTCCTTTTAACAGCACCCTCAACAATGGTCAAGAGATTCAACAACTCTGGGAGTGTTGTCTCCACCTTATTCATATGGTAGTTGACCACAAAACCATTATATGAAGATGGCAAGGACTGCAAGACTAAGTCAACACTTAGCTCATGGTCCATGATAAAACCCAGAGAAGGAAGCTTCTCTATCAGCCCAATCATCTTGAGGATGTGCGGTCCAACCGCCATGCTCTCAGCCATCTTACAGCCAAACAACTCCTTGGAGGTTTCAAAAGGCTCAGCCCTCCCTTGCTTATCATAAAGCTCTTGCAGATGCAAGATTATGGAGGGAGCATCCATATGCTCATGCTGACGTTGAAGCTCCGCAGACATAGACGCAAGCAATATATATAATGCCTGCTCATTGTCTGCCAAATGCTGTCTATGAGCTTCCCAGTCATACTGGTCATACCCATCTTGCCCTTTAGCAGGGGCAACAGGAACAGGAGAATCCATAACATATGCTTTCTTTTCAGAACGTAAAACTATTTATACATTCCTATACCAATCCGTGAAGTTTGGTCCAGTTAACTTGTTAGTATCCAGAATAGAGCATAAATTCAAATTTCTGGCCATAACTCAATTTCCGAAAATAAAGATAACCTTACATAAGTATTTCATGATAATAACCAAATACGGAGACTTTTAAACGTATATGGTCCTCCCACTATTTTATCTAAAATCAATGACCCTCAGTGATTGATTTAGGGTTATCCTTCACAAGGAAATCCTTAGTGGGCTAAGAGAACGACTAGGTCCATTAGTCTCCGGCTGAGCCTGCAAAACTAACTTATCTAGTGGGTTGATCTTATCAACAATATCTCCATATCTTCTCTTAGATCATCAGGTTGACAACTCCTTGTCACTTAGTGTTACATCACTTTGTAACAACCTGGCTCATTGCCCTAGATGCATAGACCCGGCTGAGCCTGCAATTTATGTATCTAGTTTAGCACAAACCATCATCCTAAGTGTCGTACACTTCAAATGGCACCTTTACCCGACTAAATGATATGTCTTAGCTGAGCTAGAGAGCACTATTATGTAGAAGGGATTTGAATGTCATCGATGATGGGAGGCAATCATAAAATGCTAGATAATTTTATTTGAGGGTTCATTTTAGTCTCATCATTAGTTATTCCTTTTCTTTATCTCGCATGCATATTATAATAACTATCATATAGTTCTTCCTTTTAAACGGCTTGTTTAAACATGCATACTAGTCGAGGAATGATCGCGTTTACTATAAGCATGCATACTAGTCGTAAATTCAAAATTTTAAAATTCAAATTTCAAATTTCAAATTTTAATTTCCAAAATAAACGGAATTCATAATTCCGAATAACAATTTTAAACCTTTGAAATTTAAAATTTAAATTTTAAGTTATTTTGAAAATTCGAATTTCTATAATATACATCCACGCATGCATAATTTCAAAAATCATAAATTTGAAATTTAAATGCAAGTGGATGATCATGGTGCCTTCCGTTTTTCAATCCAAAGTATCTTCAATCCTCGGATCATCTTCTTTGGCCGAAACATCTTTGTGCTCCATGGACTTACATCCCTTTTCGATTTAAAATTTAATTCCAAAATTATATAAAATTTAAAAATGCAGAATTTTAAATCGGGACAGAACAATCCCATTTAACCAAAAGAATTAAAAAATATAAAATCAGACATTCAAAGCACCATGACCATCCAATTATCAAAGTACGTACAAGAAGGTTAGAGGCATACAAAAACAATTGCAAAGCATTATCGAATTCATCTTCAAAACACGATCAAGATTCTTAAAATCAAAAATTGTGATGCGGCTGCCCACCATGTAGGCCGCGGCTAAGCTGGTGTCATCACCATCATGGTTTTTGACAATTCTAGTGCAACTAGATTTAAAACCCATCCTTAGCCCCAAGACTCTCTTGGCCGCCACTTTGTCTCCACAAAATGGTGTCTCTTTCACATAATCACAAAAAATTAGTTATTTCATTAAGAATAAATTTTTTAAGAATCTTGTTCGAAAATTGAAGATTTCAAAAACAGTTTTGAAAAACCGATAGCAGATTTCTAACCCCATTCGTTTGCAGCAACGAACCTGGCTCTGATACCACTTGAAGGTTCGAAAGACTGCACCATAGTCATACTATGGTGCGCATACATGGGTGAAAAACAAAAAACTTTCGCAGCAGAAGCATAGACCATCTATACACCCCATGTATGAATGCTTTACGTTGAAACGATAGGGTTTCAAAATTACCTTTTCACTCGTAAGCGCAAAAGGATGACGCCCTCCAATGGTGATCCACACGGTTATCTCCTTCTTGCTAGCGAGAACTCTTTCTCCTTGATCCCTCCTTATCCTCGGTGGCTGGCTAGGCGCATGCAAGGAAGAGGCTACCAAGTGTTTGGATTATTTTCCTCAAGACTATAATGGTGTCTTCAGGTTAGGTGATGGTGCAACAAAAGAGAGAGAAGGAAAGGTTGGAGCTTTTTCTTTTTCGAATTCTACACACAAATAGGAGAGATGATGCATCATGTTTATATAAAAACTGATCAACCACATAAGCCCCTCATATGATTAGGCGCACAAGTTAAAGTGATGAGAGAGAATTTCCTTGATTTTCTCCCTTGATTAGGCGCCCCTTTAATACCTTTCCTTTCCTCAGAAATTTTGTTGCAACGGTATTCATTTAAATTCTGAATTCAAATGAAATAGTAGTTGAGAGAATCTTTATCCAGTCTCTATTGGATTATTCCTTTAAATAATTTTAAATTATTCTCAACAACCTAACCTCATAGAATTTAAAATTCAAATTCAAATTTCAAATTCCAATTTGAAATTTAAACTCAAATATAAATTCAATCTTATCCAAGTTCGTAATTCGAATTCGAAATTCAAATTTCAAATTTCAAATTTCAAATTCAAATTTCAAATTTCAAAATTCAAAATTCAAAAATTCAAATTTTAAAATTCAAATTTCAAATTTGCCCAAACCTTATTTTGGTCAAGTCAACTCTTTGACATACTAGGATTCATGCCCCAAGGCCTCTTTGGCTTATCATCATATTTGGGCCTATTAGTGGAGAAAACTCTTTCACAACTAATGCCCCAAAAGGGCGCATGGATCAAGTGGGCTTGGAGTCCTTACTCCAACCCAACTTGACTCATAGTCTTGACAATGCCTAATAACTCATTATTGGTCCAAACTTGCTATAACTTGCAATAAGGAATAACCTTTGTGTGTGACCCATTAGGCCCAATTAGTTACTGACATAAATAAACTTGAACCAGTTAAACTCCTTTAAAAGGCCCAATTCATTTAATGACTACATGATACACTAGCAATGCTCTGTAGCCCCAGAACTAATTGAGTTGATCAAGTGATCTACCTTTCTGATTTGGATACCGTGCCAGCATTATCCCTCACATTGTCATTCACAATTAGTCGAGAGCAAGGATAGAGTATCATCTCTCTTTATTGACTAAATATAATATTTCACAGGAACTAGGAATCTTCTTCTATTGACTCTCAGACAGATCATGACTCTTCATGATCTCTTACTATACATAGATTCCCGAGTCAACTAGAAGTCATCTCAGCCCTACCGGTCTTTGTGAACGACTAATCCCTTATAGGGGATTGTGAGTCCTTTCGGCATGTCCATCTATACTCATGTATTCGAGTTATATCCAAGAGTACACTGTTCTCCCCATTTTTCAGGCGGATAGAGTTGTACAGTCAAAGTATAACTCTATGACATAGTATTCGATGACATCCTAAAGTCTAGGACGATCCGCACTACCAAACGTTCAAAGACTTTTCAAATCCAATGATACTCTCTATAATGAATCCTTGTGGAGTCTCTAAGCGGGTCAGTTCAGTGCTATCTGTTCTCCAACAGATCCACCCACGACATCAGCTAAGGCATCAGCATGCCTGCATACCATGAGGTCCTTACCTTGTATCTCCATACAAGTAGATGATGTCGTACTAGTCTTATTGAAATCACCAATACCCTTTCTTGGTGATTCAAGACCAGGAACAAATTTTAGGTAATAGATATTCAGTGTCCTCGAGTCCTCATGATCATGATCCCTATCATAGATCCCCGAGTGAGCACCTGCTCTATTCCTAGGGTCTTTATCTTTAAACGCATATTAACAATAAAATATTGGCGAGACATAAATATGATAAAGATAAAGTTTGCTCAAATTTATTAATCATGATATACCAAATAGAAAAAGGTGTTCATCTGATAAAACAGATTGTCTCTAGGACACCTATATACTAACACTTTCTCTTCAAGGTCACACCTTGAAGCACAAAATGCCATAACAATGGCTCCCAAGACTCCCACCAAGAAGTCAGCCCCCAAAGACCTCACAAACCAGATGTTAAACTCAGAAAGGAGGCACTTTGCACTCTCATAAGACCAAAGCACACTCACCTCAAGAGATTTGGTGATGAAATCAAGAGAAAAGGTGATCCCTTGGCTCACAAAGTGGAGAGGAAGGGTGGAAAGGGTGGCTGGTTTGGAGCTTCAGCAAAAGACCCACGTAGAGGTGCAAAAATCTGACCTAGGATCATGTGCCAAGGCTATTTATAGGCCACTTAAGTCTTAATCGCACTGTATTAGCGCTAATTGCTACGCTTAGCAATTTAATCCCAAACTTAGGATTCTGAACCTACTCATTTTTCTAAGATTTATCATATTTTTATTTTATTTTTCGCAGTATCTTTCCGGTACGCGCTTTTCCATAGCCAGTATCAGTTCTGGCACCAGTTCTCATTATTTTAACTTGAAACTTGAAATCACAGTCCTACATATTATTCTAGGAATATTCATGCACTTATTATAATATTCCAGGATACTTCATCGGTACGCATTTATACCGAGTAGCAGAACCGGTATCTTCACTTTTCGTCATAAAAGCGACTTTCAGCATTATTAATCACTTACCGATATTATTTAAGCCTTCTCATAATTATTCGGGTCAATTATGATAATATGGAATTAATTCCTATTACCAATATTATCACGTGTTTGTGAAACTTTCACCTGTCACCGGTGTTGGTCGGGCCCTCGGAGTGAGGAAGTTGAGCCCGAGATTCATTGGGCCATACCAGATCCTTGGTAGAGTATGACCTGTTACCTACCTGCTTGCCTTGCCTCCGAACTTGGCCAACATCCACGACGTGTTTCACGTGTCTGAGCTTCGCAAGTATGTAACGGATCCTTTGCACGTGGTGCAACCGGATGATGTGGAAGTTCGGGAGAACTTGAAAACTCCCGTCGGATCACTTAAGATTCTCGATCATGGCGAGAAGTAGTTGAGGAGCAAGATCATTCTGATGGTCAAAGTGCAGTGGACAAGAAGAACTCCTGAGGAGTGTACTGGGGAGCGAGAGGATGAGCTTCTCCGGCAGTACCCCAACTTCCGAGATAGGTATAA